GGCAGTAAAGTGCAGGGAAAATGCTCCACCTGATGACAAATCATGTCTTTTAAGCCTGAATGCTAGTCAGTGTTTGAAATTGACACAGCAGCATCTTTTCGGTGACACCAAATTTGCAGGGAATAGAGAGATATTGTTAGCAGGTATCAAATCTGTAGACGAGGGACCATCCGGCTCTGATATTTCTGGTTATAGTATTTTGGACAGTGAGTACCTACATGGAAATAAAAGATTACATCTGGAAGAAATAATTAAAGGATTACCAATAGAAGAAATACAGTTAGATAAGAAGGTATATGAATGTGCTGATTGTGGTTTCAGGTCTAGATCTTTTGGCCACCTAACGAAACACATAGTAATACATACAGGAGAGGACATTTACCAAAGTGTTGACAGTCAAAGTAGCTTTACGTACAGGTCTAGTGTAAAGAATGATAGGTTAATTCGCAGAGAAATAAGGCCTTTTGGTTGTGACACTTGTGGCTACCGCAGTAATTCCATTTACAGACTAAGGATACATAATCGAATACATACTGGAGAAACTCCGTACAAATGTGATATGTGTGGTTACAGCTGTAAAACAAACGGTAACTTGAAAATTCACAAAAGGATGCACACGTTAGAGAAACCATACACCTGTGATTTTTGTGGCCAGAGTTTTGCTGAGCAGGGTACTCTTCGAAAGCACAGATTTATACATACAGGAGAGAAGCCTTACAAATGTGATGTTTGTGATTCTCGCTACAGAAGCAGCGGTAACTTGAGGGCTCATAAAGCATCACATACCAGAGGCCAGCTGTACAATTGTGAATTTTGTGGTGATAGTTTCAGAGTAAGAGGCACCTTAGATCGGCATAAAATGAAACATAGAATAGTAGAAAAACCTCATAGTTGCGATGTTTGTGGTCGCAGTTTTGCAGTGCCTTGCGCCTTGAGGTATCATAAAAGAATACACACAGGAGAGAAGCCTTACAAGTGTGATGTTTGTAGCTACAGCTGCAGAAACACAGATCATCTGAAGATTCATAAAAGAGTTCATACGGGGGAGAAACCGTACAAGTGTGATTTCTGTGGTCGCTGTTACACTGTCAAAAGCAGCTTAACAGTACATTACAGAACACACACAGGAGAGAAACCGTACGGCTGTGATGTTTGCGGTCATCAGTTTTCGGACCGTAGCAGTCTAAGGAAGCATGTACGAATACACACCGGAGAGCAGCCCTATGAGTGTGATATATGTGGTTTTAGCTGTCGGATTCGGGAAAACATGAAAATTCATAAAAGGACACACACTGGAGAAAATCCTTACAAGTGTGAGATTTGTGGTCATTGTTCTACTGTGAGGAGTGGTTTACGGCAACATATGTTAATACACACAGGAGATAAGCCACACAAATGTGACATTTGTGGCCGTAGTTTCAGAGCCAGCAGCACGTTGTGTAAGCACAGAAGGACTCACACGGGAGAAAGACCTTACAAATGTGATATCTGTGGTCAAAGCTTTGCAGGTACAGGCCCTCTGAATGATCATGTAAGAATACACACAGGAGAGAGACCTTACAAATGTGATGTCTGTGATTACACCACCACAGCCAGCGCGTATTTGCAGAAACACAAGAGGACTCATAGTAAAGTGATGCCTTACAAATGTGATGTTTGTAGTTTTAGTTGTAGAGGCATAACAGGTTTGAAAATCCATCAAAGAATACATAGAAAGAAAGCTTACTTGTATGATGGTTGTAATTTTACAGGGTAACCCAGAAGTTTCCATACATATGATTTCTTCTTTGTGTGTTTCGGGGGCCCCATTGAGAACAAAGAGAATAATCCCACTGCCCTCTAAAAAGCATGTTGTAAGAGTCAGCTTATTAAGGATGTTTCCTTCGAAGTTGGACTGCATCTGCCTGAGAGGTGTGGAACCAACAGTCTGCATACAAATAAGTCAGATCTGTCAAACAGACGTGAATGCAAAACTCTAGTTGTGGAAGAAGACTCAAGTTCAGAAGTGGATGAAGAACCAGGATCTTTCTGCGGAAGTATACAGTCAGGGAACGCTAAGAAGAAGAAGTGTGATGATTGTAACTTTACAGGGTAACCCGTAAGTTTCCATGCATAGAAAAAAAACAGACGTATCGCTGCAGTGATGCGCGTCCCAGGCTCGTTGTTATGCGTTTGCTGGGTATTTACAGATACTACGTGCCGTCTGCTCACACAGCATCACAAAATTATTATGATAACAATAGTGTGCTTTGAGGTATTTTGTTCCACAGAAAATTAGGCTTCCCTAATGTTTCCATATCACTTTACAGGGTTCCCCGTGTGGGTTCCGGGGCCCTATTATAGGGAAAACAAGAAAAGACCCACTGCCTACCCAAAACATGTCGTAAGAGACGACTAATTGGGAGCTTCCTTCGAAGTCGGAAAGCATCAGCCTGAGAGGCAAGGAACCAGCAGTCTGCATATAAATAAGTCAGATCTGTAAAACGGATGCACACACAACACTCAGGATCTGGAACAGGACTACAGTCCAGAAGTGGACGGAGACAACGAGAACTTTCCACCGGAGTTTACAGCTGGTGAACGTGAAGAAGAAGACCTTACAAGGTATTTAGTCCTAAGGAATCTCAGCCGAAAAAATTATGGTGGTGAGGTATGTTTTTCCATAGTGCCTCGAGTTTCTTCCAGCAGCCTCTACAACACCTTTAACAGGGCAGTTAGCCCCAAGGAATCCCACATGGAAAAAAAAGGGATGTTATGTTTTTTTGTAGAACCTAGTGTTTCCCAACTGTCTCTGCAACACCTTTAACAGTGTGAAGAGCCCCCAAGGAATCCCACGTTAAACAAAATGAATGTTGAGGTTTTTTTTCCTCCATATAATCTAGGCTTTCCCAATCATCTCTGCAACACCTTTAACAGGGTGGGTAACCCTAATGAATTCTCAAATGATAAAAAAAAAAAAATTATGTTGGGATATTTCCAATAGTCACCAGGTTAGGCTTTTGGAGGCTTTACATATGCTATTTAACCTTTTGACAAGTACGTTTGGGTCCTGCTGGAAATATCTCTTGCCTTTCCATGTTTCATTCAACATGGATGACTTCAGCTCCTCTACTATGCTGTGCGTAGATCTCTGTACTCTTCCTTGACTATCACTAAGCCTAACGAGCATCATTCTTGGTACTGTGGATAACTTTTCATTGTCCCTGTGCTATTCTATTTTGATTTCTTATTCCAGATGTCAACTTTCATGTTAGATTTCCATGACAGTTCTTAAACTCATGTGGAATAAAAACAATATATATAATCCAAAAGACACAATTTAGTTACTTAAAGTTGTTCCTGTGGAGAGTATAATACCTACACTATATATTATTTCTTCCTATAGTTTCTGTGGAGAGAAACTTCTGCATTTAAGTATGTACCACAAATTGTTTCGGAAACAAAGATTAGGATTAGGTGGACGAGTATATAGGTACATTAAGAGCTTTTTGGAGGACATGACATTCTCAGTGATCGTTAACAATAACAGATTGTTGTTGTTGTTATTGATCCAGCGGCGCATGAGCTTTCGCCCTTTGGCCCAATGCCATGTAGTGGAATTTGCATGTTTTCACAAGCTGTTCTTTTCCTCCGTACAAGGTGTTTCACTTGTCTGGTCTCGAAGGGAGTAGCGTTCTTCTAGTCTCGCTGAGTTTTGGGCACGCAAGGAGATGATGGTCAACAGTTTCATAGGAGTAGTTACATAGCAGGCACTCTGGGGAGTATGTGGCTGTATTCTGTTTAGATGTCCACTGAGTGGAATATGTTGTGTTCTGAGTCTGAAGATGGTGGCCTGGTCTTTTCTTGTTAGATGGGTAATGCTGTCATTAGGATCAGGGCCAGCCATATGTCTATAAATTTCTTTTCCAGTATCTCCCATGGCCCATCTGTTCAACCAAGTCTCTTTGTTTATAGCTCTTACAAGTGTTTTTGCTGTTCGTAAGGTTGTCGCTGTAGGTGGTTGTTCTTGTGTTGCTCCTTTCTTTGCCAATCTGTCAGCTGTGTCATTACCTGGTGTGCTGGAGTGGCCTGGAATCCACTGCATCACTATTCTGATGTTGCATGAGGTAATAAGCTGATCAGCATCCAGGATTATCTTGGCTATGTCAGTTCTGCAGCATTCACTGCTCTCCAGAGCTTGAAGGGCAGACATTGAATCAGTGAAGATGACAATATTTTGGGCCTGAAGGGTAAACAGTCATTAGTCTTTAAGTGGTATACTGCAGTTTCCAGTGCAGTTATTTCGGCTTCATAATTTGCACTAGAAGCAGCTTTATTAATACTCAGTTACATACATACTGAACAACTTGAAGTTATTTCTTCTCAGTCTGGCATGCCTTGCTTATTCATTGGGGTGAATTATTATGTCACCCTACCCACATTCAACAGTCGTAATGCGATGCTCTTGATGTCTTCTGGGAAGTTGTGTAAGAATAGTTTGCCACAAGGTTAATCCTGTATAAAGTTGGGACACAAAGACTAGGGTTAGGTGGACGAGTATATAGGTACATTAAGAGCTCCTTGGAGGACAGGACATTCTCAGTGATCGTTAACAATAACAGATCAAGTATTTATAAACAGGAGAACGGATTCCCCCAAGGTGCGTTTTGTCACCAACAATAGTAGGGATATTGAGAAGGTGTCACATATACAAGCCAAGGACCCAGACTAGAGACCGGTTTCATCAGGATCTGAACCCACGGCCTTCCTATCCACAGGCAAGCATCTGGTCACTGCACGACGGCGTCTGCATTGAGCGTACGTGTAGATGTATATGTGCAATCAACATGTGTGCATGGATTCCCGCGTAGGCGTGTGCGCATATGTGTTGTATGCAAAAACAAACCAAAAGGGAAAATACAATTATGATGAAATAAAAACGAAGTTTATTTGATGATTCGTGTAGATCCAGAGATATAATCTATATGAACGGTAACATTAGGTCTGGCAGGTGTGTTCCGCTAGGTAATGTAACTTTTATCAAACTTCAGAGGGATGTTCTGGTTTCTCAGATGAGGCTCCGAGCTGACAGGAAGATAGCCCAGTTTAAAGTACACATCTTTGCACTGAGCATCGAAAGCCTTGACGTCTGCAAGTTTGATCTTTGACCTCCAGGCATAACTGACCTCTGTCAATGGAGAGAAATCGGTATAATTTTACATTCGATCGATTTGTCCTCGCTGTTACCTGAAGGTTGATCATCGTGAGATATGTCCCGTTCAACCTTTAAAGAAGTTATATTTGGGGATACCGTATCTGTGACAGCAGCGTGGTATAACTTGCGGCCGTGTGCGGGTAAGTAAAGATCCATTTTCACGCCTTAGTCGCATCAGGCATATGGGAAAAGCCCCCATATTTTTACAGACCAATCGGCACTAGGTGGGTAATGTGGCCAGCATTATGCCGGCCGTCTTTACTTACCCAGGACATACATCCTGGTACCCCTTTTAGGCTGGGTCGACCTGCAACGCCTCGTACGATGATACAAATCAACGGAACCAGCAGTGGGTTTCGATTGCGGTATGTTTGAATTACGAGTCAGACTCGCAATAGCTAGGCCACGGACGCTTGTGCGGGTAAGGGCAGTTATTTTATACTCCCAACTTGGAACATTAGGCAGGCCAAACAATTTCTGGAGGCCTCAGAGATGTGGTTTTACAGAAGAAGGCTTAGAATACTTTGGACAGCCAAAAAGAGCAACCAAGAGGTTTTGAAAGAGGTGGGAGCCCGAAGACAACTAATCACAGACATCAGAAGGAGGCAGTCATCATTTTTCGGCCATGTTATGAGAAGAGGGAAAATATAACATGTTGTGACCACTGGAAAGATCTGTGGAAGGGGGGATAGAGAACGAGAGAAGATGCTTGACAATCTTGTTGCATGGCATGGTGGTGTGTCGGCACACGAACGGATACATGCTGCAGGAGATCGCAGATTATGGAGAGGCATGATCGCTCACGCCAGTCGGCAAGGCACCTGATGATGATGAACTTGGAACACAATTTTTTTTTGAATGTGTTTGTGGTTATTGTAAAGTCTGTAGCTAGCTGGACAGATTGACTGTCGTTTTACCCCGCTAGGACATCACACTGAGCGACAAACACCCGGTGACACAAAGTGCCACTATTCGGACAAGCACCACTAGGGGACAGGTCCCAGAAACCTAGTTCAACACATAGGTTGGGTTATATTTCATCTCACCGCAACCGCTTGGCTTTAAATAACGAAAAATTGCGTCCCACACGGGGACGAACAGATGTGAGTACCCGGCTAGACATCATCAGGGGCCCTTATATAACATTACGGTTAAACGGGGTTTTCAGGGGGATTCTTATCGGAATGGTGGCACTTTGTGTCACCAGGCGTTAATCGCTCGGTATGCGGAGGGGAGGGATTAAACGTCACTCACTCATTCCGTTAATTTAGTTCCGCTTTGTTTACAGTATGTTACAAAACCAAAAACCAGCATTTTTGGGGCATATTAAATTTTTTTTTTACTTGACTACTAGTGAGAGATGATGCTGGATAGGCTGAAACGACGGCATTGAGTGATATCGGCAAGAGAGCTGGTCCAGGCAACCAGGGATCGTGTCCTGTGGAGACGCATGGTCGCCAGCTCCAGTTGGCAGGGCACAGGATGATGATGACTAGGCTACTTCACATTCAGTAACTTATCAGTGCTCCTAAATAGTCGTTACCCACACCGTTGTGGAAATCAATACAAAGCGGTCTGTTGTCACAGTCTTCGCAGCTGAATCGAACCGGTTATTTCGTAATTACGGAGCACGTTCGTAGTGCTTAGCTACAGACGCTGACCCCCTCAGTATAACAGCCAGGACTTTTTTCTGCACGGCACGGTGCACTTTTTTAGGCACTATGATGGACACTTTGTGGTGAGTACGGACTTTTACCCACGCCTTCAGGAATCCTCTAAAAAAAGTTAGTTGCGTATCCTTTACAGGACGTTGCATAACCAACTACAGCAGCCCCTGGCTGTTGTGAAGTTTCTCTAGGCAAATTTACGTCCAGTTGTTTGCCATTGCTTTCTTGACGACCGACCCCCTGAAACCAACGCAAGGCTTCCTTCGTGGATACTGGACATATAAAACCAGATCTATATTGTATAGACTAGTTGGCACTCAATAGATGATATGGTCAATATCACGCCGACCGCCTTTACTTCATGGGACTATACCTGGTATACACTGGGAGCCAAGGTCAATTTTGTTATTGATATGTAAAAGGCGTAGCCTGTGATGAGGGGGAAGCGCAGCATACGTATGTAAGATTTAAGCAGTTTGATGGTCAACATCACGCCGGCCGCCTTTACTTCCTAGGACTATACCTGGTATACACTGAAATCTGGGAGCCAAGGTCAATTCGTGTGTGTATATATCTAAAGCCTGTGATGGGTGGAGAGCTCAACATAGAGATGTGAGGTTTATGAAGTTTCATGTGCAGGAAGGGACGAGCCCAGGACTAGAGCGTTATGTGTCGGCTCTGCATTTGTAGAAGCTTTTTTGGTGGCGGGGAGTGCCTATGATCGGTAAAAATAACGTTGCTCTCCCCAGCCTCGCTCACTTTTTTCTGGTCGACCTTGAGCCACGTGGCGTTGGCACAAAGTGACGGGGGTGTTCCGCAATGCCGTTGATATCGCGTGTTCTATATTTCAGCATGCCAGCGTTTTAAACACTTTTTTTAAAACATCGACAAACTGGGTCTAATACAAAACACGTTTAGAGAGTGATGAAACCCATGTCACAAGCATTCTCTTTCTCGGAATATAAAAGTAAATGCAAGACATTCCAGATAGCAAGCAACAGAGCGGCACACCCGTAATGTTCAGCAAGGTAGACCAGTCCAACAAAGTTATCAATGGAACGTGACCTATTTTCTCTGGGGAAACTATCGTAAAGCTAATCCTATGAACCTTCACCCGGCCTAATTCTGCCCCTGCCTTTGCTAGAGGGTTGACAAGTATACACGCGATTGCTCTGGGTGGGTTCTCCGTTCGCTAAACTATGAAGAAGAAGAAGAAGGTTACACAGGCACAACAACATTACCAGAAGAGTTGCCTCTAGTCAGCGTGTACACCCTTCGGTCCCCCAATCCAGCTTGTGTGTTGTTGTAGATGAACCGAGCCACTGACTCAGTAAATGTTAAATTTAAAAAGCTGTACAGTTGTCTCGCCGTTGTGATCGGACTTTCTGCGATGTCCTCGTACCGGGTCAAGTGCACACGCTCGGGATATTTTCTCTTCAGTCTGAGTGCGTGAGTTATGTCCTGGACATGAAAAGAAAAATTAGTGATAGTATACTTCAAAACAATGTTTTCCCGTGAAATTAAATAATGCGGATAAAAACAATACATTGCACACTTTATTGCCAGACATATTTCGCTGTATCTCGTCAGGTGCGTTACATGCTATCTTATGTTGATGTACAACAAGAACTTTCCGCCAGAGTTTACAGCTGGTGAATGTGAAGAAGAAGAAGAAGATTTTGTGCTTCATTTTATGTTGATGTCGCAGATTTTTTTTTTTTTAAATTCGGCATAACTTCTGGGACGGACTGGTAGTAATTTTCAAAAAAATATCCGTTATATCGACCTTAGAATAATAATTGGGATATAGTCTTCAGAGTATACTTACGGTATTTGATATATCAGCGGCGTCCGTGGCCAGGGAGTCCGACTCGTAATCCAATGTACCGCGATCGAAACCCACTGCTGGCTGAGCGGATTTTTATTATGGTAAGGGGCGTCGCAGGTCGACCCAGCCTAAAAGGGGTACCAGGACGGCTGTCCTTGGGAAGTAAAGACGGCCGGCGTAATGCTTATCACATTACCCATCCACTGCCGATTGGTCTGTAAAATAAAAACATGGAACGCTCTGCCCATTTACCCGATGCGCCTTAGGCGTGATAAGGGATCTTGACTTACTTTTTTACTCATTTTATATATCAAATAATTTTTTCAAGACATAAAATTTGTATCATGCTTTTTCTTCTTCTCTTCCACCATTTACCTCAGTGAGGTGTTTGGGGGGGGGGGGGGGTGTAAGGATAGTTTGTGCACTTCTCCAATGTATTGTGCAAGTTAGTGTTCATTTCTGTAAGGTTGCTCCTCATGATGTCGCTCCATCTCTTGCGTGGTCTTTCCCTAGTCCAAGTCCTTTTGAGAAAAAAAAAAAAAAAAGCTCGACCACGTTCAGACTGCTGCCAGCTAGCCTAGGCTGCTGGCAGTCTCCGCCTATATTTGTGGTCTGGGTTGTTTGCGTCACTTTCGTGACTGAATGTTAGTGTTTGTGCCATTTCTGGGCTTGATGCTTCCATCCGAATCAAACCGCTCGTCCTGTTATCACTGGTGCATGTCTTCCTTCTTCTTTGTTGGTGTTTCCTGTTTGTTCTGTCTCCCTTTGATCTTTCTAAGCGTATCTCGAAGGAGAGCGAGCTTCCATACACAACTTCTTTCGGCCACCATTTATTGTTTTAAAATTTTGAGTATTTTAATTATGCCAAAAAGTACTGAAAACAGTTTTTGAATTTGAATGGTTCCCAAATGTGAAAATGTTCCGCGTGTGACCATAGTGGTCTTATAGTTGTCTTCCTGTAATATGAACGGGGTAGTCATGTAATGGATATGTATGTGAGAGTTTGTGTGGAGTCTTAAGCGGGTCCAGTCGTCATCTGTTATTATGTGATCGAGTTGTGTTGACAGCTAGGCTCCGGTGTACGTAAATACCATATAACCGGAGCAACCAGCTCACGCTTTGAGATCCGGTCTTTCCCTTGCTCTGTGTTCATTATATTTCTTCAGCGCGGCTCTCTGTGGCAGCTGGTACCAGGGCATTCTCGTCAGGTGACCAAGGGTGTGTGTGCGCGCTCGTGCGTGCGGGTGTGGTAACAGTAGAGTAAAGAAAACATGTAGAGTTCAGCTGAATGCATTAGGCTAAATACATATTCAGAAATACTCTATGTTAAATGCAGGGAGCTAATCAGTCCACAAAGACCAGTAACCTAGCAACACACTTCTTTATGTGACTGATGATGATGATGATGAAATACCTTATTGACTCTAGTACAGTATCTCTCCGCTTCGTATGCCGTATTGGCCGTTATAAAATTGAAGGCTCTTTGTTTGGACAGAAAGTTGCCTCTTGGGTCTCGAACAAGATAAATCATCTTTAAACATGGATGCTTGTCCATTAGCTGGCCAACTGACTTTGTCTGCAAATAAGAGAATAATATTCACACCCACAGCTACTTTTTACATTCTTCACCGTATACTGTATTTGTCCATGTATAGGACTCCCCGTGTATGAGACACCGTATGTATAGGACACCCACTATTTTGTTAGCTAAAAATGAAGAAATACATATTTTAAACACACTCCATATGGAAGCTGTCGTGGAACAGCTCGCCCGAGGTTTGAAAGTTGTTGGGTTCAAATATGCATGGTGCTGTATGTTTTTTTTTTTTTTTTTAAACATGACCTTGACTCCTAGGTCGACCCAACCTTACGTGAGGTATATACACAAGTGAGTGTAGCCTATACGCCTGATGCGACACTGAAGTGTAAATGGGCGTTTGCGTTACTCACATGCTGTGAATAATACTACCCCCCCCCCCCCCCCCCCCCCCATTAATTTAAACTTGAAAGATCTGGGGGGGGGGGGGGCGCGTCTTTTATTCGTCATATTCTGCATCAGAGATTCTTGCACGATTAACATTTGATATTTTCTTACAGTCTACATCTGAGACCCCTGTACTTTCTGCATCTACAAACGCTCCTTCTTTCTGCATTAGATAGATCTCTTACGTGCTGTCACACTCTTTCTCCATCTACCGACTCTCAAATATTCCAGATCTGATAGGTCACTTACATTCTACGTCACACATTTACACTCTGAGACACACTCTTACATTTTACGTTACACTTTTACATACTTCGCCTACAGTCTCTTGCATATTCTAAATGTGGTAATTCTTACATTCGATATCACACTCTTACATTCTACATTATACTCTTATATTCTAGTCAGTTATAATCTATAATTCTAGACCCTTAACAGTATTCCCCCCCCCCCCCCACCATTCCTGACCCCATTTACTTTTGCGTCGATGACCCCCTCCCACATAGTTTACATTCTGACTAACTTGCCAAGAATAGCAATGTCTCCACGCAGACAGGAAGTATCGGTCTTGTACAACCCACTGGTTTCTGGGCTCGAAGATGTCCACCCCAGCAGCTGACCGACTGACTTTCAACCCCACCAGCACACAAGGAGCGATTAGCACCCGGTAACATAAAGTGCCACCATTTGGGATGAGAATCACCGGGCTAAGTCCTAGGAACCCCGTTCAACCGTTAGGTTATATTTAGGGCTTTAAAAATGTGTCCCATATTGGGGGCGGAATAATAACGTAATTTATTCCACTGACTGCAATCCTAAATGGGGATAACGAGCCTTTTGCACGTCAGTCGTGCATTGGGATAAGATGATTCCTTTACAGGACGTTGCAGAACCAACACCAGCACTTTCTGGCTGTTGTGGTTTTTCTAGGCAAATTTACGTCCAGTAGTTTGCCATTGCTCCTGAACGGTTGGCTCTCGGTACCACGGTAAAAACATAGCAAGACAAACCGTCCGCAACAGAGATCGAACCTGGCACCTCGACATTACGAAGCGCATCGGGATAAGATACAGAACTTATTTTTGTATTGACCAGTTGGCTGTTGAATGTTCAATTAAGAATCGACATCACAGCTCTCGGGACACTCCCATAAGTGCTCAGTCCCCATCTTCAGCAGCAAGCGAAGAGTGTCAATTCCGATACCAGTAACCGTATGATTGTATATCGGTCTCATCCTTCCCCTGAGTGTTGAGCGTCGGCCAGATGCCATGGTAACTCCTCGCAGCGCCATTCTACTTAGACTGTAATGACCCGTTGGCTACGATGGCGATGTACTCAACATCACGCCGGCCGCCTATACGTCCTAGTCAATGACCGATCATTAGTGTTGAATTCAGTCATCCAAACGATTATAAACTATGCATCAGACAATCCAATATCCCATTGTATCTCTCGGCTCTTTGCGACTAATCCATAGGAACTAATTACAGATAGCATAAGATATTTTACTTACCGAGAGACGGATCACTTTGAGGAAATGGAGAGATTTAGCTTTACACTTAGCCTCTCCCTCTTTCAAACATATAGCTTGTTTCTCAGTCGTGTTAGCCCTGTGATTACATATACTATCATCAAACCATTTAGTTAGGTAAGACAACAATATCACATATCAACTGACCCCAGTTTTGAAACATTCGGTTATTGCCAATAGACACAAACAGACAAATTTTAAATGCAAATAGTAAAGAAAGAATACAAAATAAAACTGACCATCTGCGAAATGAGATGTCAGAGAGAGGCCATGAACAGAACTAGAAGAGATAGTGTGAGAAACGAAGAAATCACCAGAACTATTTAAACAGCACCTATTATTAAATTCATTGAAAAACAAAGACTGAAATGGTTTGGCTATTTGGTAGAAATGAAATCAAAGATGGCACTTTTCGTAGACACAATGTACGAAACAAACAGGCAAAAAACAATTTCATACTGGAAGGTGAAGTCGGGGAAGATCAGTCAGAATTTGGACACATGATTATTCACAATCACTAAAGAATTTTTTTTTTACAGCATCATCCACCATTGCTCAAGATTTATGGTGTATTTTGAAGAAAAAACGCGATTATACCAGCGCTTCAAACCGCCACACACAAGAAAGAGTCATGAAAGAAACAGTTGAAACACCGGCCAAGATAGACAGATCCGGCACGACAGTTTTTAAGATGGCTACATGGAACTACAACAACATGTTGATTCATTGCTCACTAACTGTACAAAATTTGACATAAAAATAAACACCTCAAAAACTGAAGTAATGACCATAGGAAAAGAAACACAGTAATGTAAACATAAAGATCAATGACATACAATTAAAACAAGTTCAAGAATTCAAGTACTTAGGATGCATATTTACAGAAGATGGAAGACTCGATAAAGAGATACAGGCTAGAGTTCAAAAAGCCAATGCAGTCAACTACCAACTGGCCCCACTTCTTCGTCATCCAAAGATCTCGTTACCAGCCAAACAACGGATGATCAACAGCATTTTCATCCCTACGTTATGTTATCAGTGCCAAACGTGGACAATGAACAAATCACATATGCACAAAATAACTACGTATGAAATGCGATGTCTCCGAAGAGTCACCAGCAATACACGAAGAGACAGAGTCACAAACATCAGCATTAGAGACAAAGTTGGAACAAGAGCATGCATTGAACATATTGAAAGACATACTGAAGTGGTTTGGCCATTTAGTAAGAATGCAACCGGATCAGATTGCCTATAAGGCCTTTTACAGTAGAACATCGGGAAGAAAGGTCAGAGGAAGACCCAGGAAAAAATGGATAGATGGAGTAGCTGAATACGGCCAGAAGATCCAGAAAACTGTCACTCAATTCACGCGAGAGGCACAAAACAAATATTTTAAACCACGACATTGGGCTGCAACTCGTTAAAAGTGAAGAAGACAATAGATAGATGCACAACAAAAAAAAGAAAAAAAACTACATTCTACTACTTATTATTATTATTATTATTATTATTATTATTATTATTATTATTATTATTATTTATTATTATTATTATTATTATTATTATTATTATTATTATTATTATTATTATTATTATTATTATTATTATTCGCCTTTTTCTTCTTGACCTTTTAAAGGGTGGTTGACACTGTGTGTTGTAGCTTACATGGGGTCTCCGCTGCGACGTGTTCAAGCCGTTTGCCTCGCGTTCTAAAGTTCCTGGGTTCGTTCCACGGCTGCGTTCTTCAGTTCACGAGTGCAGTTTCTATGGGTATCTACTGGGTTCGTCACCCTAGCTACGGAATTCATGCTGTGCGCAGCGCTCTCGGCAGGCTTCTAGCAGTTCTGCAGAGAGAGAGAGAGAGAGAGAGAGAGAGAGAGAGAGAGAGAGACAGCGAGAGAGAGAGAGAGAGAGAGAGAGAGAGAGAGAGAGAGAGACCGAGCCATATGGGATAAAATTCGGTGCAATGACGCAGATTCACTCGAATTTAACCTTTTTTTTTTTTTTAGCTTACAGATAGGCTGCGATATCTGTGCCTTTCGGTCCAACATTTCCGATTTCAACAAAACCAGTTAGTCGCCTTTTATGATATGCTATTTAGGGGACCATGAATCTGTCATTTCTCCCCCTAAATGGGACCAGGGATGCAAACAGGAAATATCACATTCTATAAAACATCAAAAAGATATCCAAACATAAGTATGAGAGCCTAGAAACAGATTAAAACACAGCATAATTATACCAACACTGTGCTACCAGGGCCAAACCTGGACATTATCAAAGGCTAACCTATGTAAAAGAAACACTAACTAAATGAGATGACTGAGAAAAGCCGCTAACTTAACCATCCAAGACAACGTAGAAATAATATCATCGGACAGACTGTAGGAACATCAACATGCAGCAAATTCATTGAGAAACATAAAATCGAATGGTTTGGTCATCTAGTAAAAACAACTAACAACGCAGGTGCTACACATGAAAAGATCCGAAGTGAAATCAAGAGACCGCCCTAGGAGAACATGGATTGATGACATTAAAAAGTTACTACATCCACACGGAATGACAATAGCCAATGCTGCCCATCAAGCAATGGATCGCAAACTGTTCCTCCCCATAACGCTTAACAACAGAAGTAGAAATTGACGATGACGATGACGATAAACGATTAAAGAAGCTAGCAGTTACCGTTTCATACACCAGAACATTTGTGCGGTGTCGTACAGTCGCATGTGAATGTTGAGGGTGACCGCTCGAGGTAAGTGTTGGTAGTTGCAGGTCATCAGTCTCTCCAGGATGTCCAGGGCTTTCCTGTTGTACTCCGGTATGGCGGTCAGGTGGAGACTGAAGTATAAGATAGACACGTTACTAGCTGATGTTAGAGGTGGTGGTGGTCGTGGTTGTGCTGTCTCGTGCCAACCCTCATTAATATCTTTTTACGACATGCATGGTAGCTTAAAGCGTTACTTTACTCGATGTCCATTATGAGTCCTGATTACACATGGGCGAGTAGTAACACTAGCAGTATAGTTGTAGTAGGTATAGTGGTGTTGATGGCGATTGTGGTGATGGTGGTAGTAGAGATAGCAGTAGGGGTGTGGTGGTGGATGTAGTAGTTATAATTGAAGAAGTGGTGGTAGAGGTATTAGTAGTAGTAGAAGCAGTGGCTTATGGCGGGGGTAGTAGTAGCAGTAGTAGTGATGGTGGTGGCGTTGGTGGTAGTAGTACTAGTTGTTATTGTAGCAGCAGTATTGGTGGTGGTAGTAGTAGTAGTTGTGGTAATAGTGGTGGTGGTAATGGTGATGATTGTAGTGGTGGTGGTAGAAGTAGTAGTAGTTGTTTTTGTTGTATTAGTATTGTAATGGTGGTGGTGGTGGTGGTAGTAGTAGTAGTAGTAGTAGTAGTAGTAGTAGTAGTAGTAGTAGCAGTAGTAGTAGTAGCAGTAGTAGTAGTAGTAGTACTAGTAGTTGTAGTGGTGGTAGTAGTAGCAGTGGTAGTGGTGGCAGCAGCAACAACAACAGTGCTCTAACAGAAGCGGAGGCGGCTAAGTTTGTACTGAGGCATAAAACACCAGTACTTATTTAGCGGCGTCCGTGGCTAAGGCGTTGCGAGTCCGACTCGTAAGCCAGCATACCGCGATCGAAACCCACTGCGGGCTGCGTGGATTTTTGTCGTGGTATGGGACGTCACAGGTCGACCCAGCCTAAAATGGGTACCAGGATGGGCTGTCCTGGGAAAGTAAAGACAGCCGGCGTAATGCTGACCACATTACCCACAGAGTGCTGATGGTCTGTAAAAATATGGGACGCTCTGCCCATATGCCCGATGCGCCGAAAGGCGTGAAAAGGGAACTTTACTTTACTTACTTACTATTTATGCCTGACCTCCGTGTAATCTTCCTGAAGCGACGCGAACAGCTTGGCAAAGTTATGCAGCGGCTCATAATACATGTACACTTGCTTCTGTTGTCTGATAATCTCCGAGGTTAGACTGGAGCCGCTTCTGCCGTATGTTAGCAGAATCACTTGCTGTCTTTCTGTTGCATTCTGTAGGGTGTTTGAGATGTCTTATCAGGGGCGTCAATGCAAAGAAAACTTCGGGGCTTGGGGGTGCTGAACCCCCTTTTAATTTTCTGGGGGACAATGGTAGGGAGGCGACAAGGGGTTCACGCACTTGTGGACTTAGATACAACACCAACCACAGAGCAACAGTTGAACTACTTCCCATGATACAAACTAGAGAAAGAAAAACCAGAAATAACTTCACAGTTACTCGACCTTTTAATGGAATTGGACTCTCCTTCGAAGTCTCCCTCCACCTCCCTTTCCACCATCTACCTGTGCCAGCATCTATCAACCACGAAGGTAAAGATTTATTTCGTATTATATACTTTACTGGGAGTCGCCGTGGCGTAGCGGCTAGACGCTCGCGTGCGGATCGGAAGGTCGTGGGTTCGCTTCCCGGTAGAGCTGGACTTTTTTCTAAAATGACATTGACTTTCAGGTTGACCCAGGACGAAGTGCCGGGATGGCAAACTTCTAAATGTAAAATTTGCATTACAAAAATCACAACAGTTAAAAACTGCTGTCGTTGGTTCAGTCCCGGGAAGTAAAGGCGGTCGGTGTGATGCTGACCACATCACCCATCTTGTGCAGATTGTTCCATAAAAAATATAGGTCTGGCCCTATATGCCTAATGGCGTGGAAAAGGGAACTTTACTTTTTTTTTTTACTTATACTTTTGCCACACACAAATCCATACAAAGAGCTAGAAAAAAGAATAATAGTATTTGCTTTAATTTCGGGTCGCGAACGGAGTCAAAAAGCGAATTAGATTCGCCACCCTAGGTATCAATGTATATGCTTAAACATTTTTGGGGTACAAATCACGAGTCAGCGTTTGTGGCTTAGTCGTTGCAAGGGCGCTTCGTAATGCTTAGGTGCCGGGTTCGATCCCATCATCAGTTCTCGTTATGCCTAGAGGCACATGAGGCTTCAGAGAGGACTTTCCATGCTTTCCTGTCCTGTGCAATCTTCAGTGCAGTTTTCCATGTCAAAGATGCCGCACTCAGGTCACTTTCCATCGTTCGTCTCCATGTGGTTTTTGGGCGCCCCTGTTTTCTCTTTCCCTCTGGTGTCCATGTGAGAGCTGTTTTGGCAGGTATATCAGAAGTCATTCTCATCAGCCATTTCCATCTTCATACTGGTAATCATACTGTGTAAAGTTTCTTGGTTTGTGGCTTGAAGTAGTTTAGTGTTTGAGATTGTATCTGGCCAGAAAATTTTGATAATTCTATGTAGACATGTGTGGTGGAAGGTGGACAGCTTGTGTGCATCCTTTTTGGTCATTCTCCAGCATTGCGCTCCATAAAGAAGAACTGGCAAAATGATGCTCTTGTAGTGTCGGAGTTTCGTTCCTCTGCTGTAATTGTTGGATTTCCAGATTTGCCTCATCCTTCCAAAAGCAGCTCTAGCTTTGTTCAGACGTGACTGTATGTCTTCCTCTGTCTCTCCCAGTAGGGACACCACACTGCCAAGATATGTGAAATGTTCTATATTTTCAAGTGATTGGTTACTTATAGTCACTGGTTGTTGGCTTGGACTGTTTGTCATGAAGGGGTTCGATCCCAGCTGTGGACGATCTGTCTTGCGTTGGTTTCGACAGTGGTACAAAGAACTGAACAGTCAGAAAGCAATGGATGCAAACTACTAAATGTAAAATTTGCATAGAAAAATCACAACAGTCAAAAACTGCTGTCGTTGGTTCTGCAACGTCCTGAAAAGAATACGCAACTAACTTTAAAAAAAAAATAATAATTACATCTCCAAGGCAGTGTGATTTTGTAGTGGATTTCCCGGGACACCCCTATAGTCTAGGAGAGTTCAAGTAGATCAACCAGTGACAACAACCACCGCCAACAAGCGTAATAATACAACGAACTTAAGTGATTCGATACTCATGAAGCGTCGTGCCTTCAGCGCTTCCCCCTGCAGTACTTATGGCTTGTATACAGGCGTCTTCGACGCCTGAGACCTACCACTCACAGAAACAGAGCTGCAAAAAAACTATGCCTATAAAAGTTGCCTTTACACCGTACCGTTCACCACCGGCGACCGGCCCGCTTATTGACTCGCCGGTAGACGACTTCGTTGACGGTCGGTACAGTAATTGAGTCAGTCTCCTTTGATCGCATCAACACTGCCAGAGTGCTTTTCATGGCTCTAGGTGGCGTGCAGTGCTAAGCCATTTTATATGGCACACATAACCTAGTCACAGTTATAACCAAACACCACTTGGACTCAGGTTTTCACCGACGGCTCTGCTACAGATGCAGTCAGAAAGGGGAGTTGTGGAATATACATTAAACCCCCTAGCTGTAGAGCAGAAACTCTCTCTCTACCAGCAGGTGACATCTACACTAACTTCAGACCTGAGGCAACTGCCCTCCTTTCTGCAGTCCAACAGCTCATCACTCAAGAACACAGAGGGCACAAAATTGTTATACTTAGTGTCTCATTATCTGTTCTCCAAGCATTAACAAGCAAAAAACAAGACAAACTAATTAATTGCAGATCTTCCAAGGAAGCAGAAATGGTCTTGCAGTGGATACCAGCCCACTGTGGTATTCAAGGAAATGAGAGAGCAGATGAGTTGGCAAAAGTTGGGAGTAATCTTCCACAACCTCATCCACCACACAGCTACAACGAAACCAAAACAGCGCTAAAGCAGTTTTTCAAGCGGGAGTGGAGAAGGCAGAATGGAGATTACAGACCAGAGAGTGACAGCATAAACAAACTCAACAGGAAAGAACAAACAACAATTTTTAGACTTCGGACTGGACACTGTGGTCTTCGAGCACACCTGTACAGGATAGGCATAACATAATCTGCTGCCTGTGATTGTGGAGCAGAAAGACAGACCCCTGGGCACATACTACAGTACTGCCCTTACCTCTCCCAGCAAAGACTGTGGATCTGGCCTAAGGGAGCCACATTGAAAGAGAAGCTATGGGGGACCGGTGGCGACCTCAAACACACAATCCTATTTGTGACCCAGACGGGACTCAATGTTTAGCATGACTGATGTGGAAGAAGAAGAAGAAGTGATAACCTAAAGCTCCCTCTTCGGGAAGGCTAGTTTAACGTGACGATTTTTGTTGGGGGGGGGGGGGGGGAGAGGGGGAGAGCCAACCAACGGAACGCAGCGTGTACAGCTGTGTACCGCCAGTAAAGATCCACGATTATTATTATTAATAATATCCAAGTAAAGGTCTCTTTTCCACGGCTTTAGCCATATTGGGAAAATGGGGCTAGACCTACATTTGTTTTATAGACCAATCGGTACTTGGTGGTTAACGTGGTCAGAAACACGCCGGCCTTCTTGACTTCCAGGACTGTACCTGGTACCTACTGAAGGCTGGGTTGAAAAATATCCGGCTCTGACAGGGCGCGAACCCACGACGTTCCGATCCGTAGGCTGGTGTCTAGCGACCAACGCTACGAAGACGCTTATTATTATTATTATTATTATTATTATTATTATTATTATTATTATTATTATTATTATTATTATTATTATTATTATTGCTCTGAATAGCAAATAGATGTGATATTCTACTTAAAACGAAATGTGAAAGCATATAGTTTTGAACCTACAAAAAATTGGGTGCGGGCTCAAGAGTTCGGTGCGCCAGGTGCCGGTGTCTATGCTTCCCACATGATCCCGATCACCCTACACGCAGCCTTTCTGATCGTTTCCTGATTTATTTATTTTTTAATGCTTAGGAATCAAATAAGCCTTTCTTGATCACATACACACTTTCCCAAATAGCTAAACACTAAATTATTTAACATAATTCTACAAAAGGTTTATAAAAAAGAAAAAAAAGTAAAAGTAAAGATCCTTTTTCACGCCTAGTTGCATCGGGCATATGAGGAGAGCTCCCATATTTTTACCGACCAATCTGCACTAGGTGGGTAATGTGGTCAGCATTACGCCGGTCGTCTTTACTTCACCAGGATATCCATCCTAGAACCCATTTTAGGCTGGGTCGACCTGCAACACCCCATATCATGCTGAAAATCCACGCAACCAGATGTAGGTTTCGATCGCGGTACGTTAGTAGTAGGTGGCGGTGTTTGACACCCCATCCCTATCGATTGTTGGCTCACCCGCCCTCTTTATCCTTAGTAAATATCGATCTGTAACCCTCTCTCTTCATCCTTAGTAAATATCGATCAGGCGGCTGATGACCGCACGGGTGACTGGTTTTAGGGAAGGGGAAAGACATATGGTGTATAAATCGATACTTTGCATTGTCTCCATAGCAACTGGTGACTCATTGTTGGTATGTCGGGGTGTGGGTATTTTTAGGTGGAGTGATTTAAGGAAGGCAAATCTATATTTCTTTAGTGTATTTTTCCTCGGGCGGGCAAATCGGTACTTTGCAGGCGAATTATTGTATTCAAAGCCGTGGACGACAGGTGGCGTTTGCCTCATCTGTCGATGGGATTATATAAATGGCGATGTCCGGAACAATATTTACGTGAGCAGCGAGGCGGGCTGGGCAGGGAACCCGGGGCGAAAGGACGACTAAAAGGATTGGTGCTGGTTTATAGGTTCTGTAATTAAAAAAAATTAGGAGCGGTTTATTAGCAGGGGATATATATGTTACAAAACGAAACAATTTAGGGGATATGAAATAGACTTAAAGGCGTCAGTGACAGCAGGCAGAGTGGGGCCGTTTTAGGGTTTAGATAAAGAAACCTAGGAAGGTGGCTTGATGACCGGGAATCTATGAGAAAGGGTTGCTCGGGCGCCAGCATCATCATCTGTGTCATGGTATCGAAGGCTGGCCACTCAGAGATGGTTTGAGCTGTAGTAAAAAGGAGAATGTGCGACAGAAGGGTGGGCGGCTTGTCATAGTGTTAGATGTTGGTAGTTTACGGAG